GAGACCACTTCCTAGATAGAACCCCAGTAGCACAGGCAATAAGAGAAACAATGAATAAATGGGACCTCCTAAACTGAGAAGCTTCTGTAAAGCAAAGGATACTGTCATCAAGACAAAAAGGCTACCTTCTGACTGGGAGAAGATCTTCATCAACCCCTCATCAGACAAAGGTCTGACCTCCAAAATATACAAAGAACTCAAGACACTAGACACTAAAACTCTAATCAACCCAATTAAAAAACATGGGATACTGAACTGAACAGAAAATTCTCAACAGAACTTCAAATGGCCAAAAGGCACTTAAGGTCATGCTCAACCTCCTTAGCGATCAGGGAAATGCAAATCAAAACCACTTTGAGATATCATCTTACACCTGTCAGAATAGCTAAACTCAAAAACACCAATGATAGCCTATGCTGGAGAGGATGTGGAGTGAGGGGAACACTCACCCATTGTTGGTAGGAATGCAAACTTGTGAAGCCACTGTGGAAATCAGTGTGGTGGTTTCTCTGGACACTGGGAGTCAACCTCCCTCAGGACCCAGCAATTCCACTCTTGGGAATATACCCAAGATCTGCCCTATCATACTACAAAAGCATTTGTTCAACTATGTTCATAGCATCACTATTTGCAATAGCCAGAACCTGGAAACAACCTAGGTGCCTCTCAATAGAAGAATGGTTAAAGAAGGTGTGGAATATATACACATTGGAGTTTTACTCAGCGTTAAAAATCAATGACATCTTGAATTTTGCATGCAAATGGATGGAAATAGAAAATTCTTTATTGAGTGAGGTAACTCAGACCCAAAAAGAGGAATATGGTTGTACTCACTCATAAGTGGATTCTAGGCATAATTAATGGACCTTGAGCCTATAATTCTTGATCCTAGAGAAGCTAAATAAGAAGGTGAACCCAAAGAAAATCATATGGTTATCCTCCTGGATACTGGAAGTAGACAAGATTGCCAGGCAAAACTTCGGTGCACGGGGGTTGGGGGGGTGGAAGTAAGGGAGATGGTTAGAGAGAAGGGAGAGGGGGAGGATTGGGGATAACTTGGGGGAATGGGATGGGGGGAGGGAGGAAGGATGGTTATGGGAGCAGGGAGGTATATATCTCAACTAAGGGAGCCATTTTAGGGTTTTCATGAGACTTGATTCTAGAGGAGTTCCCAGTCCCAAAGAGAGGTCCCCAGATTGTTCCCTGGGCAGCAAAGGAAAGGGTGCCTGAACTGGCCTTGGCCCATAACCATACTGATGAACATTTTACATATCACCATAGAACCTTCATCTGGCGATGGATGGAGACAGAGACAGAGACACACATTGGAACACTGGACTTAACTCCCTAGGTCCCAATGAGAAGCAGAAGGGGGGAGAATGTGAGCAAGGAAGGCAGGATCAGAGGGAACCCTTATCTGACGATGGATGGAGATAGAGATGGAGACCCACATTGGAGCACTGAACTGAGCTCCCAAGGTCCAAATGAGGAGCAGAAGGAAGGAGAACATGAAAAAGGATGTCAGGACCGCGAGGAGTGCGTTCACCCACTGATACATGGGGACTGATCTAATGAGAGCTCACCAAGGCCAGCTGGACTGAGACTGAACCAGCATGTGATCAAACCGGATTCTCTGAATGTGAATGACATGGGGGCTGTCTGAGAAGCCATTGATAATGGCATTGGGACTTGTTTTGTCTGCATGTACTGGCTTTTGGGGATCCTAGTCTGTTTGGATGTTCACCCTCCTAGACCTAGAGGGAGAGGGGAAGAACTTGAACTTCCCACAGGGCAGGAAACCCTGACTGCTCTTAGGACTGGAAAGGGAGGAGGAGAGGGTGTTTGGGAGTGGGAGGGTATTGGGAGGAGGGGAGGAAGTGGAAATTTTTATAAATTAGTAAAAAATAAGATACCAAATAAAATCTCAATAACAAGAATATAATACATCATTTTTAATTGTTTGCCAGTAGGGTCTCATCCACATGCTCCCAGACATTACAGCCAATGTTATAGATTACCCTCCACAATCTTCATAGCGAGATTCTATTGCTAAAGATACCTGTGATGGTTTGAATGATAATGGTCCACATGTGCTCATTTATTTAAATGTTTAGAGAGTGGCACTATTTTAAAGGATTAAGAGGTGTGATTTTGTTGGAGTAGGTGTGGCCTTGTTGGAGAAAGTGTGTTACTGTGGGGTGGGCTTTAAAGTTTCAAAAGCCAATCCCATCTTCTCCTGATGCCTATGGATCTGGATGTAGAATCTTCAACTTCTCCTCTAGCATCATGTCTACCTGCATACCACCATGCTTCCCACCATGATGACAAAGGGACTCAGCATCTGAAACTGTAAGTCTTGCCAATAAAATGCTTTCTTTTACAAGACTTGCAATGATTATGGTGTCTCTTCATGGCAACTGAGCAGTGACCAAGACAATACAACATAATTGTATCATAGAACATGGAGACATATAGTTGGTACTCAACCAGAAGCTTCACCTTACTGGATAACATTCTTTTTGTTGTTGTTTTTCAAGACAGGCCTTCTCTATAACCTTGGTGCCTGCCCTGGAGCTCACTCTGTAGACCAGGCTGGCTAAAAACTCACAGAGATCCACCTGTCTCTGCCTCCCGAGTGCTGGGATTAAAGGTGTGCGCCATCACTGCCCAGCTCTGCTGGAAGAGCCTATACACACGAGCAGAGGAGAAATGTAATCACCAGTCTCACACAGCTACACCCCTTGCAAGCTAGAATAATCACCTATCTGGTAAGATATACCCAGTGGTGCAATAGTGACACAAATGTTATAGGAGTAACCAGGGATTTTTTATTATTAGATTTAAGTCGATGGATACCTAACACTGATAATGAAGGCTAGGAACCCAAGGCTATATAGATCATGGCCCTAGAGGGAAAGCCCCTAGAATTTATCTGCTAGATGAACACAGCACCAAAATGAATACTAATGACATATTGCTATACCCATAAATCAGAGCATCACTCGGTTTGTTGCACAGTCAGGGAACACAGAGACCCACTTCTGGGAGAAGTTTGGAGAAGGGAAAGAGTATGACTAAACTATATTAAACGAAATTCTCAAAGAAAAAATAAAAAACATTGTTCTTAGAAAAGAACGAATACAAATAAGTTGATAGAATTCAAAGAAAGCATGACTGAGAATGGTATAACTTTAGAGATAAGCAGATCACATTCCAAGAAAGCCTGCATCAGTTCTTGTTATGAAAATAGAATTCAATAATGAATGGAAAATTTAAACTGAAATGAAGCTGGAAATGAAAAATACATAATTGGTGAAATAAAATGTTCAATAGAAAGCCTCACCAACAGAATGGGCTATGTGAAGATAGATCATTGGGGTTTGAAAACAAGATAACGGGATTGGATTTCTCACAAAAAAAAAAGAGTTAAAAAATTCATAAATGGAACATGAAGGACCTTTAGGAGACCTGGAAAGGCCAAATCAGTGAGTTTAGATTAAGGAGGGATTTTAATTCAAATGCATAGAAAATATTTTCAATAAAATCATAGAAGAAAACTTCCCAGATCCTGAGAAAGAGACATCCAAATAGGCACAAAAGGCACAGAGATCATGCAAATAGACAGGGAATTAGGTGGTGAATAGTCTTTTCTTTTTTTTTTAATTCCGCTCCTCCTCCCAACACCCTCCCACTCCCCCCACTCACTCTCTTCCTCCCTCTTCATCCCTAAGGGCAGTCAGGGTTTCCTGCCCTGTGGGAAGTTCAAGTTCCTCCCCCCTCCCTCCAGGTCCAGGAAGGTGAGTGTCCAAACAGACTGGATCCCCAAAATCCAGTATATGCAGAGGAAACAAGCCCCAGTGTCATTGACAATGGCTTTTCAGAAAGACTCCGGGCCAGCCACATTCAGAGAATCCGGCCACATTCAGAGAATCTGGTTGATTCAAGTCCTTGTTCAGTCCCAGTCCAAATGGCCTTGGTAAGCTCTCATTAGATCCGTCCCCTTGTATCAGTGGGTGATAGCATCCCTCGCAGTCCTGATTTCCTTTTTCATTTTCTTCGTCCTTCTGCTCCTCATTTGGTCCTTGGGATGCTCAGTCCGGTGCTCCAATGTGGGTCTCCATCTGTATCGCCATCCATCGCCAGATGAAGGATCTATGGTGATAAGCAAAATATTCATCAGTATGGTTATGGGCCAAGGCCGGTTCAGGCACCCTCTCCTCTGTCCAGAGAACAATCTGGGGATCTCTCCTTGGCCTGGGATCCCATATATAATCAAGTCTACTGTAAACCCTAATATGACTCCCTTAGTTGAAATATATTCTTCCCTGATCCCATATTCATCCTTCCTCCCTCCCCCCAATCCCGGTCCACCGAGCTTTCCCCATTCCTCCCCTACTCCCTTCTCTCTAACCGTCTCCCCTTCCAACAACCCTCCCACCCCCACCCCCATGCACCCGAGGTTACCTGGGACTCTTGTCTATTTCCTACCTCCTGGCGGATAGCTAAATAATCTTCATCAGGTTCATCTTCTTATTTAGCTTCTCTAGGAATGCAAACTTGTGCAGCCACTGTGGAAATCAGTGTGGCAGTTTCTCAGGTAACTGGGAGTCAACCTCCCTCAGGACCCAGCAATTCCACTCTTGGGAATATACCCTAGAGATTCCCTAACATACTACAAAAGCATTTGTTCAACTATGTTCATAGCAGCACTATTTGTAATAGCCAGAACCTGGAAGCAGCCTAGGTGCCCCTCAATAGAAGAATGGTTAAAAAAGGTGTGGAACATATACACATTAGAGTTTTACTCAGCGGTAAAAAAACAATGACATCTTGAATTTTGCATGCAAATGGATGGAAATAGAAAATGCTTTACTGAGTGAGGTAAGCCAGACCCAAAAAGAGGAACACGGTATGTATTCACTCATAAGTGGATTCTAACCATAATTAAAGGTCTTTGAGCCTATAATTCGAGATCCTAGTGAATAGTCTTTTCTTCCTGACTGTGAACCCATTGTGACCAGATGTTCAAGCTCCTGTTTCCTTAAGGTCCCACCATAAGATTGTGCCCTTTTTTTGAGCCAAAAGTAACCCACCCACTCTTCCTTCCTTCCATCCTTACTTACCTCCATGAATTTCTTCTGCCAGGGTACCTTATTACAGCAATAGGAATAATAAATAAGACAGTCAACAATGCACTTAAGCCCCAGGACCCAAGTTCAAATCCCCAGCACCTATGTAAAAATAGGCAGGGCAATATAAACCTGTCACACTATTAGTAGCAGTGTGTAGAGCTAGGAGGAGTCCTGTCTATCTGAATCCATGAGCTCCAGGTTCAGGAAGAGGCATGTTACAAAAAAAAATAAAGTGTAAAAATTATTAAGGAAGACGCCTGATGCTGACCTCTGACCTGCACACACACACACACACATACACAAGCACATGCACACGCACGCATGCATATTCCCTCCCTGCAAATTCAAATGCACACAGTCATGCATGTCCCCTTCCTTGAACATGCATACACATATGCATAAACAACCCCTCCCCTGTATATGCACACACACATGCATGCATGTGCCCTCCTCTGCACATGCACGCACGCACACACACACACACACACACACACACACACACATGCACGCACATCCTCTCTTCTGGACACATGTGTGAGCACACACAAATACATACACACATTCAAAGAATAAAATAGAAGTTAATGGAGCTAAAACACCCTAACAATACAATAACAAAGACTGTGGAGATCAATAGAAGCTTCAACTAGCACACTAGTGGTACCAGGGAATTGGAGTTTTCTGTAGATTTTCAGTCTTGACATTAAAAGAATTTTAAAATGGACTTGTAAGAAAGCTTCAGGGCACTTTATTAAAGTTTGGGAGAAACAGAGGAAAAGGAAACTATAAAGTTTACAGCTGATAGAAGGAGGAAGATGGAAAGAAAGAAAATAATGCCTTCTGCATTATGGTCCAAGAAAGCAAGCTGGTTATTCAATGAAAGTCTGTAAAGAGCTGGATGCTCATAAGAGAACACTGACAAAGCCCAGATGCAGGCACACCTAAGATTTTGGTCAATTTCTGGAAAAGAGGTAGAAAGGAATAAGGGGACAATGGGCTTTCTGAAGTAGAACTCAGAAAAGCAGGCAGGCTTACCAGTGCCGATCTGTAAGCCACATACTGAAACAGAGGCTCTTGGATATGCGTAAATACATTATCTCATTAAGGGGATAATTATTCCTACAATATCCTTAACATGTGTTCAGGTGTATCAGCTTTTCTGTGTGGTCATCTTGGGCCCAGGTGATTGACAAGCCAAGGTGGACAAAATCTTAAGAAGGAGACAGTAGTATGACTTTGTGATCATTAGTTTGAGGCAATACAGAGTGTTACACATCCACCTGTTGCAGAGAGTGGGCCTGATTGTTTGTCCTGGCTGCACCGCTAGCTTAGCCCGAAAATAACCACACAGAAACTGTACTAATTAAATCACTGCTTGACCCATTAGATTTAGTTTCTTATTGGCTAATTATTACATCTCAATTTAACCCATTTCTATTAATCTGTGTATCGTCACATGGCAGTGACTTACTGGGAAAGATTCAGCGTATCTGTCTCTGATGGCTCCATGGTGACACTCCCCCTACTCTGCCTTTCTTCCTCTCAACATTCAGTTCTGTCTTCCCTGCCTACCAAGGTTCTGTCCTATCAACTAAGCCAAGACAGTTTCTTTATTAAGCAGTGAAAGCAACACAAAGACAGAAGTACCTCCTACCATCCACCCATGATCAGAGGTAGAGCTAGGTTCTATTCTTGTGACCAAGAAGTAGATTAATTGACCTCAACAAACCCCTAACGTCACCACTATCCATCATTTCTTGTGATACTTTAAAACTTAAGGAGTGGCAAAGTTATGCTTCCCTTTATTATGTTACCAGGGAAATGGAAAGTGAGGGTCCAAATCTAATCTTAAGAAGGACTCTATCCTCCACGGCCTCCAAACCTAATGCCTGTCTAGCTATCCAACTTCCATGCTTATAACACCAATGCTAAAGGACTTTTGCCTCAATCTGGAGAACTGCTAAAATCCGAAGGCTAATGTTATATTAACAGATAGAACTGGGGGAGGGTGGCAGAAAAGCAAGAAAGAAATGTAAAGTCATCTGGGGCAACAGTTAAAGAGGTTACTCAAGATAATGATTAATTGAAGGGCAGGTCCCCTTGGCTCAAACCCCAGTGACTGACTAATTGCCATGAACAGAAGCAGGTGAAATGATCAGGGTAATAAAGAGAAATTCTTGGAAAGCTTTGATCCATAACTATGGAATCATTAACAGAATCTAAGGGAGAAGTAGAGATTTATGACAACCTGTTCACAAGTTGAAAGATGAGGGGCTCACAATCTAAAGTTCAGGGTCACAGGTCTGAAAAATAAAGAAATTTTTCATCTTAAACAAGAGGGCACCAAAATGGATGGAACCAGATGTAACTATATTAGGTGAAATGAGCCAGACTAAGGAATACAAACACTGCATGTTTTCTCAAATAAGCCCACGGGGCAGGGCACCCTGACTACTCTTAGGACTAAAGAGGGAGGGGAAGGTAGGGAGGGAGAGGGAAAAGGGAGGCGGGAAGGAGGTGGAAATTTTTAATAAATAAAAAAAAACTTTTTAAAAAAGGAGAGACTTTACTCTTGGAATCAAATCAAAGACCTGGATATTAATCCACAAACCTATGAACACCTGATTTTTGACAAAGGAGCTAAAATTATACAATGAAAGAAAGTATCTTTAACAATGGTGCTTGCAAAACTTGATGGAAAATAGTAGAAAAATGAAAATACATGTCCACAAACCCAGCCTTACAGAAAGAACTAGAAGGAAAACCTCAACTCAAGGAAACTAACTACACCCACAACCACACAGACATCTGATAACTCCCATCAGCATAACCAAAAGAAGGGAATCACACAAACACTACTACCAAAAATAACCAGAGTTAACAACCACTGGCCACGAATATTGCTTAATATCAACGGACTCAATTTACCTATAATAAGACACAGCTACTGAGGATATCTGGAGTGCTGAGTGAGTAGCCACCAAGCAGACTGGTTCCAGAGAATGAATTTCAGGCCCCCTCCAATTCCCTAAAATTTTCTGGTCATCCAGCAGGACATGTTCCTGGATACTGGCTTTCTATCCTTACCCTATCCCATCTTACCCCCAAGAATTCCTTTCAATCTGCAGGGTCCATGGATCTCCCAATTCAGTCTGCTTCAGGAATGAGGGTCTGGGGAGCCAGTGGTGAGTGGTCCTGCCATGGACTTCTTTGTACCACACAACCCTGGACTCCAAACCTGCAATTTTGTCTGTGAGGTCCTTAGAGCCCTGCTCCTATACTGAGGGAATCCATCTGGAGTGGTAAGTGGCCACCTGGCTGGACGGTTCCCAGGGAACAAAGTACAGGCCCACTCCAATTCCCTAAA